CCCAGCTCCTGCGTTGTCTCACGCAGATGCAGTCTATGAAAATTACTCAAATTTGCTACTAATAATTGTAGATACTAGCTCTGGCCGTCTGCCTGAAGTGACACAATTAACACAGAATTTCATTAAGAAGAAAAAGCAAGAAAAGGAAAGGAGAGGGTAACTTTTATGATAATGCTTTGTCTTTCTTGATAATTCCAGTTGCAGTGTTGGTAACCCACTGCCTTTTTTAACAACGTCACACATCTCAACCAATTAAGACATGACATTTTCATAATTTGTTTTTTGAAGTACTCTCTTATTAGGTTAGTACTTGATTTGTTTAGACTAGGGGACTTTGTGCTGAAGTTTTGCATGCCATTTGCTAAAAGAATACACCTATGCTTTTCTTTCTAAAACAGTCCGTTGCATTAGTGAAATTTGTAGCCTCACAAGTAGGAGTACTTTTTATGTCTTGGTGGCATGAAGTGGTGAGTCGAGTGCCTTGTTTACAACTAGGAAATAGGTCTAGTAAGGATCAAGAATATACAACTTAAAGGAAAATAGAATTTTGTCGTTGTGGCAGCTCTGAGTCGTGCAATCAACTCTGCAGATAAATGTAGAAATCAGAGGAGTCGGCAAAACCGATGAAAGAACTGTCAGGCAGCAACCTATTTGCTTATTCGGCCTGGTAGACTAATGTGTTTTCAGAATGTTTCTCTAATATGTTAATGTAACATTTTCAATTATGTTAATTCTCAGGACTAGGATCAACTTGGGAGTCTGTAATCAGCAATAAATCAACGGATACAATAGTTCATGGCTTATCTAAAGTGTTGATGTATTTCAGCTGGTAGTTACAGTGCTTCTGCCCAGAAAGGGAAGATCCAGCGCTCTTTTGTCAGGCAGAGTTCCAGTTCAAATCAATGAAAATACTCACATGAGCAAAGCAAGCTGATCCCTCTTGCTGGATTGACTGGCGGAGCAAATGTGGATTTTACTAAGACTTACATTTTTATGTCTTTCTGAGGAATATTGTTTATTTTCTCTTCTTATTCCCTTTACTGCCTTGGATCAGCAGAGAATGAGAAGCACTGACGTGCTAAATCAGTGAGATTTCACTGTCTTCGCTGTTCTTCACCACCACTCCTCTTTTTCCCCTTTCTGCAAACTGTTTTCCCAATTTCACAGAGAATCAGAAAGTATCTACATCATTTGCAGAAGGGAAAAATATGCTCAGAAATAGACTATATGCAGGACGTGTTAGACTAGGTTACTTTTGAGGCTGTCAGTGCTATGTACTGTCTGACATCAGTTTCCTTTCAAAACTTGATTTAGTGAAATGGCTTCTAGGAACAGCTAACACCTCAGTACTGTAGCCTCTCTGGGAAACTGTTCTGGACATATCATCTCTCTACATAAAAACAATACAGTGAATAGAGTCATAAGTGAAAAAGGCCAGATTAACAATGACAGCGAATGAATTTTTCCTCATGATAGCTATAGCTTCCACTGCGCTGGGGCAAGCTCTCCCATGTGAGTGCTCTCACTCAACTACAGAATTGTTACTTGAAAGAGAAAATCCCATGTATCATAGCTGTGATTGAAGGTATTGCCGTTCCATAGATTCCTGGACGATAGCTCTGTAGCCTCTTTAATTCACTTCACCATCTTTTTTTGACTTCTTGCCTCTGGGTTATAGTCCTCTCTCTCCCCTGATACTTGCCCCCTCTCCCTCTGTCGGTTCTGGGTAACTGCTTTGTAGTCAACCGCCTTTAATGAGCTGGAAGGCTCAGACCTATCAAACTTTATTTCCAGCAGTTTTCCTTCTTTAATCTGTGGGTGCTATTATCTTTTGCCTTTTCCAAGTCCTGGCCAGGAGCCATTGTTTCGGCTCTTTCCCCAGCAAGATGCATCTCTCGTTCCTGTTGCTGCTGTGTAGCTGGTTGGGTTTGTGCTTCCCGCTGGGACTGTCCCTCACACTTTCGCTGCACACATACGACAGGAGCAGCAGCAATGAAGGGAAGAACTGGGGCAGCCAAGAGAGGGGACAAGGACAACCACGGGGCTTAATAAGGATATAATGAGGTCTGGAAAAAGGAAGAGTAGTGAAAAGCCAGGACAAGTTTTAACACTGCAGACACACAGTAGACAGATATCAGATAAGCCTTTGTATTCCAAATACACTCAGCTTAATTTTTAAAACTTTTTTTTAAAAAAAACCCAACAAACCATCTATCTCAGCTTGAGCTAAGAGGCTTAAGACTACAGAAGCCAAATCAAAAAGGCAGAAATCCAAATGGCTAAGCTGACACTGATCTCATACCTGTTAGCACATGGACATACATATGTTTCTTGAACAGGACATAGTTACTCACAAGAACTTGCTGGAAAATGCTTGGACGATGCTTTGTAGCAAGTAAAACAGCATGGGATGTGGTAATTGACTGCAGTGCCCTGAGAATGTTACAATAAAATGTACCAAGGACACCAAAAATGTAACCACAATATCTTGAATAGCTAGCAACCAAGACAGTATAAATTATTTCTCCATGGTATTAAAAATAAATTAATTACAATACCTAGAAATTACATCCAGCAACAGCTGCTTTTTTCCCTTTTTTTTTTTTTGGTAACAAGAAAATAAATACAGAATTGCTAAATCTCCAGAGGTCACCAGAGAATATATTCTTTGCTCTTGCTGTTAGGAATCTGGGAGACATACTGGTTTACTGGCAGTAGTCTTGCTAAATATCCAAGTGACTTCTCTTTTGATTGCAAAAATTGGATGTGGGGTATTACCTCCTTCCTGGGTCGTGCTTGGAGTCCCCTTCAATTTGTTATTATTATTTGACTTGTTAATATAGAGCAAAAGCTCTTATAAAGTGGCTTTACTACAACTATTTCCTATTAAGGTTGCAACAATGCCTAGAAAACTTCCAGGACTCTGATGTGCTATTGGACGTGCAAATGCTTAGGAAGAGATAGTTTCTATCTGGAAAGTCTGTCAGAGTCTGAGG